GAATGACCCATAGGAAATGTGTTACAAATACAAGGAAGCAAACTGACACTACTCCAAGTCCATTCTGACTCACGCCCCCAGCCATAGGTGACATTCCTGTTTCCAAGCTCAAAATCACAATCCAACAAAAGTGGCCAAAGCTGCATACTGATATCAGTATTTAGTAGTCCATTTCTTTTACTAGATGAAACCAGCAAAATCCCTGCCTAAATCTTCAAGCCCTGATGCTTTTCACTCTTACACAGGATTAAGACCTGTTTAAGGGTGATCCCATATCAGACCTTGAGGACTTGGCAGGGATTTTCTGGTTTTATCTTGTAAAAGAAATGAACTACTACACTAAATACTACTGGCATTGGTGTGCAGCTGTGGTTCAGTTGCAATAGGAAATATGCTACAGTTTACTAAATTACAAAAAGACAATGACTGGTGTCTTAACTGCCAATCAAAAATATCTACTATATATTCTGCTCAGATAAATGGCTTTACTCCAAGCTAGTAAACTGTGAATGGTGATCTGAATATTTTACATGAATAATAATGTATAATACTGATTATGGAAGAAATATCAGATATTCTATGTAAATAGTAATGGTTTTAAAATAAATTCCCATTACATGGGCCTTGGGTCACTTTTAGACATGCTTTTATTAGTCTTGTACATACACTGTAGTTGCCAGTGGGTGATGTCAATAATCCTTTTCTACATACTTCTATAATATGGGTTTACACCAATAATGAAAACAGAAACACTGTCAACTGGTATAAGACCTGTTTTTTTCGGTATATAAATGTCTTTAGATTATATGTGGAGTGTCATTTCCACAAATAAAAGGCACAGTTTGCCTGTGCAAAAGTTCTTAGGCCAGTTAACTGATCTTCCTTTCTTACAGTCCTTCCAAAAATCATTTGACAGGAAATGTAAGATTAACTTTGTTCTACCTAAGTGAACAAAGAGTGCTTAGAGCAGGCAACTGGCTTACCACACAGCGAGAACTTTACTTTTTTTTTCATTTTTAATCCTGCAGGAATCTGCACAGGCCGCTCACAGAGAAAGAGAGACAGAAGAAAACATTTGCTAGAGCAAAAAGGGGAAAAAAGTTGTTTTCTTTACTTTCAACATCTTGTATCTAGACCATCTCATTCTGGTCACACAGCAGATCCTGCTGTTTCTCTTCCATAAATGTTAACACTAAGTTCCCAACATGGTCGTCTGTTAAATGGACATTATTGATTCCTATGGTCCATTGTTCCCACTGCCCCACATTTTAAGTCCCTGAAGTTCAAGTTCAATCTGGAATTACATCATGTCTGGTTTCTCCTGGTTACCAGACGGCCTGAGACGTGATCACAGCTATACAAAAAAAAGGGGGGAAAAAAACAAACAGTTTTCTTCACGCTTCAGCTACTTCAATCGATCTGAACAGAAACTTATTTTCCCCTCTCCTTTTCTATTTTTGTTAGGCATGCTTCAAGAGTGGGGTCTGGCTAATTTAGAGATTAAGCTCCAAATTAGATTATCTGTTGGCATCTTAATGGATTGCTGATCCATTTCCTGTAGAATTGCAATGGGCAATGTATACTCTGCTTCTTTGGAAAACATGTAGACACATTTAGAAGATGTGTATTCTATATCCTGAATAAATAGCATTTGATTACTAACTTACACTAATATAAAAGGTTACAAACTGCATACAAAAATCTAAAACTCTGCTGTCCGACAAATCCATAATATAAATATATTATGATCCTGTGATTTTGAAAAAAACACAAAAATACACTTTTAATAAAACTCACTGGTATACAAATAAATAATATGCTGTATTCATGCTTGATGTCCCATACCCATGTGTATGTTTCCATTTAGTAACATATGGGAGCTTCCATGTTGTTTACCTATTTAATTTAAAATGAATCACCAATCACACACTACAGTGGACTGGCAAAATACAGAAATCATATTATCTAAGGTGACACTATTATTTTGAATACAATTTTAACAATCAATCACTGTTTTAGAAAGTTTACAACTGACACTAAATAATATTATCTTTCACACCAGGAGCCTAATTTACTGCAAAGTAAAAAGGAAGTTATAATTTCTTTTATTTTCCCTGCACATGAAAATGCACAATGCACATTGTATAACACCCATGTTCCACTTTAGTACATCAGGACCATGTTTTCTTGAATTTTTACATTAGTAAATCAGACCTATGTCTACTTCACTGCACTACATCTTACACTTTAGTAAACCAGGTCCTAACAGAATTCTTGTAGGGCTTGTTTATGTGTGCTGCCTCATTGTTGCCCCTCTGAAAAGAGATTTGTGGTAGATCACTTTTCAGAAGCATCAAAGGCAATATGCTGCCTCCTCAATGCCTATGGTAGCCATTGAAAGCCAGCTGTAGTTATGGGGCAGCCCTAATCAATTTAATGAGTCTCATTTGGTCACACTTGTGCCTCAGCTATCGGGGGCTATAAAACCATGGCTCAACTGCCTATTTTTATCCACCCATGTAAACGAGGCCTTACTGTTTATCCCCTTTATACTACATTAACCTCTACATCTGAAGCCAAAGAATGGGTCTTTGGTAATGTTTACATCTTCAAAAAATATAATAAAAAATAAGCAGCAAATCCATGCCTCATCCATGCAGGAGAACCAAAAAACATAAATCTGTCCTGCAGTTGACATTTATTATCTTGTATTAATGTATGACACAGTTGTGTGCTAAGATGACATATGGAAGAGGCAGAGGCAAGTCCTCGAAACGCGTCAGGCTATTGGATGTCTACACTCCCTATTGCGGACTGTTACTCAGCGTGGTGTTGACCCAGCTGTTCTTTTATGATGTGCCTTGACTTTATTGTCGTTTGTGAGTACAACACCTACTTTATTTCTTAAACATTTTTTATGGTAATGCACTAGGCCTGTGCGCCCTCTGTTTGTTCTTACCTCATTCAGGACATTTAACTATTATCTTGTATTAATGTATGACACAGTTGTGTTCTAAGATGAAATATGGTAATAGGAAATCCTGAATAGTAATGGCTCCCAAATCAAGACATTAGAGAAATCTGCCCATTCTACCAGCTCTGTTGCCTGCACTGTTCATGAGTGATAGATGTGTAGGGAACAAACTTCCTGTATTTCCATCAGATCCCTAACCTTTCCTAGTTTGGTAACTCTTCACATACAATTCTTTAGTGATAAACCACAGAAATCAAACATACTACAGTAGCTAAAACCTAAGACCAATAAAAATTGATTACTGATTAATGTATAGTTACTGTAGCTCATTGCTCTTTGTCATATTGTAGGTTATTTTATATTCCTCAGTGATTGAGAATGTATACTTTATACCATACAGATCAGTTTTTTTCTAGTACATTGATCTTTAGTAAACCCCATGATTAGTTTTCACTTATCACTTTCACATAGGAAATAAAGCCATTAATTATCTATTGGCTTAGATTGTACACACAAAAAACACATAAAATAGTTCTGGATATTCTTAGGAAGCTTAATCTTACCTCAGTCTGGTTGTCTTCTGAAGCAGGGCTGCCCTAAAGCCTCCTAAACATAAAGCTAACTATTCTCCGGAAAGCCAAGCTGTCCAATGCTGCACAGACATGAGCTGCCTGACCTTTCCTACATTTAGCCAGAGCACACCTATGACCAATTTAGACAGAACGGAATGGTTGGCTCCCAAAAGAGAAATTTTGGATTTTGTGGTGAGGCAATGGAAGCAGTTGTATGAATACATATATGACCAGATGTAGCCATCATATGATTGTATTTTCTATCCTGCCCATGCAAATATCTTAACTTTTTTTACCTAAGCAGGAAAGACAGCTTCTCCTCATACATAACTTAGTTATTGGCAATTTAGGTCAAACGTGCCAAACCTGACCAACATCTCTGCTTGTGTGGGAGCACCTCAAGACTTGATAAGTATTATTCCATGAAAAGAATACACAGAAAGAAAAGCAATTTAGACAATTTTCTCTTTTGTCAACGATACTTGCGGTGTAATAAGGAATTTTTTTTTGTAATATCTGAACCATCAAACATATTATTAATACAAATTTTTGTAGCAAGTTCTAAACGTAAGTAGAACAATCTGTATTTCATATCAAACAAAAGCATGCATATATAAAACACCGCCACCCACACCAACAATCAAGTAGCTGCAGCATCTGCCAACAAAACTACAATATTCTACTAAAATGGTCCTTTATTTTTCCAGCTTTTACTATTCATTTCACTATCAAAGAAAAATTGCACTTCCAACATGCTTGTGACAAACAGTTAGCATTATCTTTGTTAGCAAGCTTGCTTAGATTACTAATGATTTATGTAAAACATGCTTTTCTCTTACCTTATAATATGACTAAACAAATTCAAACCATTACATCAGCAATCAGTTAGTATGTTGATTAGTTGGTTAGTTCATGATTTAGTTTACCACTGCATGTAACAAAAGTAAGCTTTGTGTGATTATATGCATGGATATATATGTATGGTTCTACATTTGCAGTGTGTTTATTCATGATCATGTTGTTTATGTTGTGTTTGTAATAAACTGTGCATGTATAAAGTCATATAGCTCCAGTTCTCCAGAACATATGAAGCTTTTGCTTCCCTAAAGTATTGTTGATGTATAGATGTTTTTATTTGACAGCAGCCATGCGGAGATGCAGACATGGATTAACTCGTTAGCTGCTGGTCATACTTGCTCCAAAGGAATTTCGCTTGAGTATATAACCAGTCAGCATACCAGTTTGTCCAAGCTGTTCACTCATCTCAGGAAAGCCTGACTACAATGGAGCAAATGTGTTTCAACAGTTCTATGCACAAATGTTTTGGTTAATTGTGATATGTAAATAAACGTTTCCAGGAGAGAGAGAAGGAGGGGTGGGAAAAGCTACAACAGCGCTATGTCTCAATGTAATTTAAAGATGAAGTGTAGGGTTGGAAATAATTAAAATTTTACCTTTGCCAAGTTATTCCCAATGTATCCTCACTGGCACTGGGGTATAAATGCCTGCCGTTTTGATTCATGGTCCAGTCACAAATCCTCAGCTGTCAATTGAAACCTAGCAGTCAGATATGGATCCAGCAGTACTGCAGATTTTTAGTATTTAAATGAATACATGCAATGGCACAAAACGTTGAGTAATCTTACTCTGTTCACTTTAGTAACTCCCTCAATAGCGTATGCATTAGCATTTCATGGTTCAGTTTAATGTGCAACTCTGCAGTAGCACACACAGGTACTTTGAATAATAGTAGTGCATTTTCTCACATGACAGATAAAGGAGCTGTTTTTTTTTTTTTTTTTTTCCAAATCTGTAACAAAGCAAAAAGTTGCTTTACATAGCAGTCAGTTGGATTCTGTGTTTTTATCTTCTCAGCTTTCATATTTTAATATCTGAAACACATGAGTAACTAGCTGTTTGCCTGATTTCTAAATACTACTGGATGAGGTGTACAGCTGAATGCGGATACAAGTACAATTTGTGGATCAATCCACACTTAAGGTTTGAGTAAATACCAGTGTCATTTAGTCTTGAATCACTTACAATGTTTTTAATTTTTGAGAGACTACTGTCTGTATGTTTTTCTAAGTCTACCCATCTGTTATTACATGCAGATCTCACTCTACTGCTTTTTTTTTTACAATATGGATACGTTGCAGCATGTGTGAGCTGTTATGATGAGGCTGGGTAGAGAATTTTGAAGGGAAGATTTCACCTCTGGCAAAAGGTGATTCAGACCAGCTGGGCACACTGATAACTGAAATATACGTTTTTGGGTGAACCTGAAACTGCCTTGCCTTTAAAGGAGTACAGCCAAGCTTGTTTGGATGTATTTCTCTTGTGGATCACAGGAGTGCAGTTCGTTCTGCACTCCTGTATTCCGTGTTCAGCCAACAATGGGCTAAAGCCTGCTGTCAGCTGACGGCACAGTGCCGACCATATCCACCCAGGAGCCTGGACCGGCACCTGGCTCAGCCTCTCAGCAAGCTGGTGAGAGCCTGAGCCAGCCACTCCTTCCAGAGCCCAGCGCTTCAGTGAGTGCTGAGGGGCAGAGAGCAGACAGCGGTGACTGACAGTACTGCCTCTCTGTTCAGAGCGGAAGGGAGAACTGAGCAATCAGTGGTGTCTGATCGGATCAATGCTGCATCCACCTAAGTATTATTTTGAAAAAAAAAAAAACTCCATACTTCTTTTTTAATATGCATAAGTGCACTAAATTGTACAGGTCCACTGGAGGCACAAAAGTTCAAATTAAGCTGATAGTTATTTCAACAATCTGCACACCAGGTCTCTTTTGTCTAGCTGCAGTGCAGAGCTTTAAGCAGGGTATACACACTGTTTATTTTGATTCATGAAAAATAGACAAATCCCTGCATCCAAACAAATTATGTGGATGCAGGGATCTCCCTCTCCATGCTATTGTATTCGGACAGTGGGGGCTCCCCCCTGTCACAGATGAGTGCTGCAGCCATTGGCTGCAAGTGCTGATCAAATGCTGGTTTTCCAGCATGACCGTTCAACAGTTGCTGGTTGTTAGATGACTTCTGTTGAACAAAGGTTCCTGCTGAACCGACAGAATATTGGTACATGTGCTCTGCAAACAGTGACCTATCTCTGTAGTTTCTGGTCTGCTTTCTCCCATCTCTCACTATTGGTTAGTGAGGCTGCTCATCACAGTAACGGCCAATAATGAAGCACAGAAGGTAAGACAGAACCAACAACCGTGGAAATTAATCATTGTTTGTTGAAAGAATACTCCTGCTATTCTGGGATCCAGAAAAACAGACCTGACACACAGGAACCTAATACTACTATGTACTTTTCTGTCTCCAATCATTTTAGTGACCTGCTAAATTTTGGAAGATCACAGGTATACATATGACTGCTATGTAAATTGTTGTACATCCACCACAAAAGTGTGGACTGATTCATGAAAATCAGTTATTGGCATAAGTTTACTTTTTGTGCATAATACTAGAATATATACCTAATAGCAATTTTTTAAATGAAATTGTTAGTGATCAAACATGATAAAAGAATTCATTTTAAGGGAAAGTGCAAACAGTTGCTGCTGAAGGCAGATGATCTGGTCAGTGTCTGGTCTGGGGCATGCAGGTTAAACAAAAACAGCATCATAGAAAACATGCAGTTGTAGACATAAAGTTTGCAAAAGTTTAAAATGGAAAACACCAACACAAATTAGTTGTAACTGGTCATAGTACGATGTGCAAATTCTCTCAAAGTTTTACTGCTTTTTCTGCAAAATGCGCTGACATGCCAAGACTACTTTTAAATTTCAAAGCCTTTCAAGTCTACTCTGTCAGAGGCTGACACTTGTGCAATTCACTTTGTAAATTATATATTTTTTTTACTATGATTATATTGTAAACACTGCATGAAAAATATTACAATTCACCAGATATTATGACTAATATGTAAATTGTTAGGCGTTAACTATTACAACAGCCTCCTATCACTGATAATTGCAACCTCATTTCATTTTTATTTACTTGTCCAAAATGTAAGACTAGAGCTACTATTTTTGTAGCTCAGCTGTGGCACCTAAACCTCAGTGTTATATCCCTGTGGTTTTAGCCAAGTCTTATTCCATTTAGTTTCAAACATGGACTGACAGTACCTAAACTTTACCCTCTTCCCGACCACCCTATAGCAGAAGTACTGCTAAAGGGCGGCAGGGCTGCGCAAAATCACACACACACACATATATATATATATATATATATATATATGTGATTTTGCATTTGCATTTTCCACCCTACCTGCGCTGCCATTGGCGGCTACAGATGTCAATCACCGGGTCCCGGCCGAAGATTCCCCACCGGCACCCAGCGATCGCCGAGTCTCACTGACAACACAGGTCTCTCTCCTGTTAGCAGTAACACGCTGCTGTGTGTTTCTCTGCTCAGCAGAGAAATACACAACAGTATGTTTCCCTAGTAAAACACACATAGCACACACAGTAAAACAGCACACAGTTAACCCTTTGATCACCCCAGGTGTTAACCCCTTCCTGCCCAGTGTCATTAGTACAGTGTCAGTGCTTTTTATTAGCACTAATCACTGTATTACTGTCATTGGGATGTCAGTGGCAGTTAGTCAGTTCCCCCCAGTGTCAGAATGCCCGCCACAGTCCCGCAATAAGTCGCCGATTGCTGCCATTACTAGTATAAAAAAAATTCCAGTATATATACCACCATTTGTAGATGCTATAACTTTCACATAAACCAATTAATTTACATGTATTGGGATTTTTTTTTAGCAAAGATATGTAGCAGAATACATTTTGGCCTATATTTATGAAGACATTTGATTTTTTAATTTTTTTTTACTGGATATGGGTTTTATTCAAAATTGGCAGTCTTTTTTGTTTATAGCGCAAAAAAATAATGAATGCACAGGTGATCAAATACCAACCAAAGAAAGCTCTACTTGTGGAAAAAAAATTACATAAATGTAATGGTCAGTTAACGTAATGCAGTGCTGTATCGCAAAAAATGGCCTGGTCAGGAAGGGGGGTAAATCCTCTGGAGGACAAGTGGTTAAGGAAAACTATGACAGTTGATAAACCATATTTATACTTTTATACAGTACACATACATTTTTAGGCTGTAGTCTCCTTTCCAAAGGCCATATAATGAAATTACTGTATATGGGTTCTAGGAGGTCCTTCAACAACACACATTATAAGCCATGAAGATAACCCAAACTAACCTACTGAAGAAGAACTTATGCCAGCGATTAAGTAATTGTATTTATAATAGAAACACGGGCATAGAGTATTTTAACTTGCCAACAGGGTTATTTTGAGGTGTCAGATACAGTAAATGAATTTAATTCTAGGGGAAAAAAATCACTATCAATACAAAACACATGTGCAACGTCAACAACATAAGGGGAAAGAATGTCAGCATATTTCTTCTACAAAACAAAAAACAGCTGCTAGCTATATGAAAGCAGGATATAATCCACCATCTGAAATTCAAACAATAAACATAAACGTTGAAATGAAGTCTAATATTGTCCACTTTCCCAATTTGCTGGAATATTTGAAATCTATACAGCTCTGACTTTACCAGCTGCTGTAGTGTGATAACAGATTTATTAGAACTGACAACTTCATGTTCTTCACACCTTGGAAATCATACCGAAATATGTTCCACGTGTGATAATAATGTCTTATTTTTATATACATAGTTGTATAGCATTCTTACATTTCTAACTTGAGAATGGGTGACTATAGAAGCTTTTCTTAGTAGCGTAATGTCTGTGTTTCTAGGGCCACTGCCAGGATCCATGTGAGCAGAGTCCCACTCCTGTTCCATGAGCTCTGGTGCAAACAACATGAGAATGCAATGATAATCAGTGGGACATGCTGCATTTGTAAAGTGGAATATACATGTGTGTGCATCAAGACTGCAAGTGTCAATATGTCCTGATTCCTTCCATGTTGACCACATGCGTGGACCTTGTGATATTTATACATAGCATGTGCTGCTCAGAAAGATAGTGAAAGTGTTTGTTTATATTGTCCTGGTGCAATTACCATGGAGAAAAGCAAATACCTAACCTTGAAGAAAATCATAAATTAACACACTGTTAATGCTAATAGATGAACTAAAGACAGCTCTAAATCCCAATTAATTAATAAGTTTCAATTAAAAAATATTAGGGATGCACCAAAATTTTTGGCCACCGAAACATATCGGCCGAAAATAGCCCTATCGGCATTTTGCCAATAGGAAATATTTAGCAGATACAGGGCCCGATACAGGGGACTGTGTGTACTGCAGATGTGAGGGGGGCGGCGAAGAAAAGCAGGAGAGGAACAGTGTATACAGTGACTGGCTGTCATTGCCGGTTTTTAAATGTAATTACCGGCTTTTTCAGTATAACTCAGAGAATGTGCTGTCACTCTCCCCGAGCTAAAAGAAGAAACAAAATTTATTTTTAGTTTCTTTTTTGAGCTAAAAGAAAAAAGTTTCCCTTAGCTACGGGGAAAGTGACAGCTCATTATCTGAACTA